TTTTTAATCACACGCAAAAAAAACAGTTCAAAAAGTAATTTCAACCAAACAAAAAAGCTATTTCAAACAAACAAACAAACAAACAAAAAAACAAACAATTTCAATCAAAAGCTTTTGCTAAACTGACTCGTTTTACCCACGTCAGAATTCTTTGGACGAATTTCTACGGAGCCCGCGAGGCGACACGGGGGGATTACTTTTCTTTTGCGTTCCCACGCAATACCTGTGCGTTACTTTGCAATACCTTTGCATTCCCTCGCAATACTTTTGCGTTACCTCGCAATACTTTTGCGTTACCTCGCAATATTGTTTTGCATTCCCACGCAAAAGTTTGATTTGTATATGAACTGAATTAAATCAGACTTTTATTTTGAAATATCCAGTTACCAAAACAGGATGTGTTGCCACAAGTTCGTGAAATTAACAGGTAACGCAATACTTTTGCGTGGGAACGCAAAAAGAAAAAAAATCCCCCATGTCCCTTCGCGGGCTCAGTAAATCTCATACTTTCRGTTGACACTCAAAATTTTGAAACATAGAGAACATGAACAACCGGGGCGGAGCCTAAGGAGGAACTATGGAAAATGTGTCCCTATTGGTTTGTGCGGACTGAAGCGATTTCCTCTTGCAAGATATAAAAAGGGTTTTTGTTTGGTCAAAACTACTTAAATATTTTTTTGGTTGAAACTTTTTTTTTGTTTGATTGAACAATAAAAAACAAAAAAATATTACCTTCACAAAGCAGAGAGCCATCTGGTTGTTTTTTTACAATATTAAAAAAAGACACAAGTGTGTTTGTGCAAATATGTGTGTTATTGACCCTAACAGAAATATTAATATCCGATATCGATATCGGCTAAAATTTTCATAGCGGTGCATTTTAAATCCTTATTTTTCTCATTTAAATGGGGTCTATATAAAGTGAAACTTCAATGCTTTGGCCTGAATTTCTCCTTATTKTAACTCCACAAGTCCTGCCCCTTTTCTAAGGTGTGYCTCAGAACAACTCATTTTGAGGCTGTCTCTTTAAATCCAAATGAGGCRCTTCAAACCCCGCCCCCCTCCAGGTTCAATGCAGAGGCTAAATTAAACGTTTCTGCCTTCTAGAGACTCCAAGWATTTAACAAAATGTATTTAATTACTAAAAAGGTGGTTTTAATTTAAAATTAATGCACACCTTTATGACCAAAACATCTCTCTGGTCAACCAGGTCAACCAAGACCCTAACGGCTTTCCTCTGAGTTTTATCTTTAGTCCAGGTTACAGAACATCTTTTCACTCTGCAGAGAAAACTCCCCGTATGAGACATAAAATTTCTTTATCTACAGAATATAAGTGCAGTGTTTTTGTTTTTTCTTCTGCGTGCATGCRTGTGTGTGTGTTTGTGTGTGTGTGTCATAATGAAAGTCTTCAGCGGCAGCACGTAGAACAAGTGTTATTTGTGCCAAAGGTGGAGGAAAGTCAAACACAGAACAAAGAAAAAAAAAACACCTGAGCTTGAAAGAAAGATAATAACTGAATAAATGTGGAAAAACACGGATGAAGAGGAGGATTCAGAAACGATGGAAGGTTGAAGCAGAAACACTTTAGTGGAGTGAAGACTTATTTTTAGAGTAGTCCTGCGAGTTCAAATGGAACCRCTCTTACTGAGCTACAACAATGTTAGAAGTGGCTTTAAGTGTTTTCCACTTTTCGTTTTCTMGGCGAGAACGCTGCTCTGTGACCAGCTGGAAGAATGGAAAACGTCTCAGGCTGTCACTTTACAGACCAGACGTACTTTTCTGACAAATTTCAGTCGGTTTTAAAACAAAGTCACAGCTGTGCAGAGAACCAGTGCCTCTGACTCTGGTGACATCAAGGATCACAATACTCTTTTATCACGGCTTGAACAGTGGACTAAAGGTTCTGTTCTGCACTGGTTTGGGTTGGACAAACACTAGCAGAGCTGAGCCAGAAGGCAAAGCTCTCGGTTTACCGGACGGTCCATGTTCCTACCCACATCTATGGTCCCAAATTTGGGTAGTGATCGAARGAACGAGATCACGGATACAAGCGGCCGAAATGATTTTCTTTCACAGGGTGTCTGGGCTCTCCCTTAGAGATAGGGTGAGAAGCTCAGTCATCCAGGAGAGACTCAGAGTAGAGCCGCTGCTCCTCCACGTTGAGAGGAGCCAGTTGAGGTGGTTCATCTGTTTAGGATGCCACCTGGACTCCTCCCTGGTGAGGTGTCCCACTGGGAGGAGACCCAGAGGAAGACCCAGGACACGCTGGAGGGACTATGTTTCTCAGCTGGCCTGGGAAAGCCTTGGGATTCCCCCAGAGGAGCTGGTCCAAGTGGCTGGGGAGAGTGACATCTGGGTCTCTCTGCTTAGGCTGCTGCCCCYGAGACCTGACCCCGGATAAGCAGCAGAAAACGGAYGGACATATCGCCCAGCCCTAAAACCAACTACAGGAAACATGCAGCTTTTTGGACTATATGAGCCACCATTGCTAAGCGACATTAGCCTTCCAGTGTTGCTAACGCTAACACTGCGCTACAAACAACGAGCCATTGTGGGTCAGAGAACATGGAGCATCTCATCGACTTTAGGTTGTGGCATGCATTTGACAACGCTGTCCCAAAATTATAAATATATCATCGCAAAACCGCCACTGAATGAGCTTCTCTTGATGTTCTTAATAGTCAGTTGTTTTAACACCATCTTTATTTCTGGGTCTGTGCTCTGTTCTGCCCCTGTAATTTGTCACCTGCAGGGCGGCTTTGTTTATAAATTATAGTCCACTTGAAGAAAGCACAATGAGAATGCAAAACTCAACAAAGGGAAAAAATCAAGTTGATCCAGACTAAAAAAAAAAAAAAAACGGATCAAAGGAATTTCCTGGTGTAAACACACCCTTAAAGTTAAACACAGCTGAAATTTACTGTACGTCATTAAGTCATTAAGAAAACACGTTTCAACACAAGACTGATGCTGACGTCAGTTTGTGAACTCATGTTTTTCAGCCTCAAGTTTAATATTTGAAAATGATCATTTTGGTCGTTTTGGACAAAGAAGCTTTTTTGGAGCTGGTGAGTAATGTTAGGAGGAAATGAGTAATTTAACCTGAATTATTACAGGCAGGCGAGCATTTATTTAAAAAAAAAAAAGACCAACATGGCAGAAATGTAAAAATAACCTCTAAAGTTAAAACTACAAAAAGTTACTAAAAGTTTCTCCCATCTTTGGTAACATTAGAAGGTGAACGTTTAAATCAAAGATGGTTCCCAACATGATGAATGAACTAATCAGCTCCTCTCAACCTGCGAGCTTTTAATACCAACACCTTTCAGTTCACCGACATTCATCCAGGATTACCTGCAGAGGAATTAAAACCACGTTTTTAACCATGTTTGTGCTCTTTAAGATGTCAGAGTGCTGCTGATCTTCGTTCTGTTGAAACGTCATGTTAATTTATTCAGAGCTTTCAATTGTATTCTATATTTAAAAGCATGAAGGCAGCTCTAAATGGATTTTATGCAGAATGACAAGCAGAACCAATGCGTTTGATATATTAACCATTAAAGTGAGCTGCCACGTCCATATTTACTGTGACTGCATTAACTCAACACTGCTTGTCATTTAGGGATTTAGGTCTTTTTTATTGAATTTTACCCAAAATTAGGCAATAAAAAATGTAGCATAATCTTTGAATATTAGGTAAGRGTTATCTCAGTGTCTAAAACTGATTATTTAACATCAAAATCTGGACAGTTGGTGTAAACAGTTTTCATAAAGCATTGTAATTTAATAGAAAAAAACTGTCTAAACATTTATCATGCTAAAAACCAGAYCATGTGAATATTTATGAGCCAACGTGTTTTCACGCAGACAAACATAAATGTCGTCATACCTTCTCTCTTGTTGTTGCGGAGACATTTGACTTTGGGCAGCTTTGTGAGAAGCTGGCAGTCACTCTCTGAAAATAAAAAATAAAAAAACCCACCATGAATTAAATATGAATATTGAATACTGAATAATGTGCGCTTTGAAAGATTATGACTTGTCTGAAACCCAGCGGGGGGGTTCTGCGGTTTGCTGCAAACCTCTTCAGCAGCGGGACAACAATTCAAAGCTCTGGGTTTGATAAATCAGACGTTTGTCTGCTTGCTGCTCAGCTGACTCTCTGCTCCCCGCTGGATTTTTGTCTTTTATTCATTTAATGTTTGAAATCTATTCGCTTGCAGGAACGCACATTTAGAAAATAGTCTTTTGGAAAGTGTCAAAGGAGAAAATGGAAACTGAATCCTCAGAATACAAGTCATTTTACAGAAGTCAGAATACATTTTTAATACTTGTTGCTAAATAATCCATGGATAATGATTTCATAATACATGGAACAAAGTAGTAATATTTGAAAAATAATGCCTGTACTTAAACTCAGCTGAAAAGTWCAACAGTGAACCAAAGTAAAAGAGCTTATAAGCTAAATACAATAACTAATATAATTCTTTTTAAAGGGATCCCCGATTAGTTGCAACATTAGACTTTAGTTAATAAACATACATTTTAATTGTAAAATAAAGACTGTAAAAATACTGGAGGGTGTTTAGTTTTAAAAATTTTTGAATATATATTTTAACAGACTGGGCCATTTTATTTACACTAAAAGCATTCTGGGTAAATGATGACATCCACTAGGTCCTTGGTGTGAGCGAGCTATATCCACCCTGAAGGTTAATCTTGGAC